CGATAAAATTAATTTGTATGGGGAATATACGATACTAGTTCCCATCGATTTTAGGAGTGGCCTCATTTTAAACATTATTTGCTGGCGATAAACATCTGTTAGCAATTTTCGTATATTTTAATATTTTTATCGATTAGATATTGATGTTTTATTTTTCATACCAATTTTTGTGTCTATCTTTGTTTTTTTTTCGTATGTCAAATTTCCACGTAATACACAACCATCATGACTGATAGATGTCATATTGTAAAAACGCCATCTGGTGACGTGTGCGAATTAAAAACAACCGATATGAAAATTTAGTCAAAACACCATCCAACAATTCCATCTTTGTAATTACATATGTTGATAACACGTCAAAAGATGGCGCATTATTGTGCGACTTTTTTCTCACCTATGTTAATATACAGGGACTCATGGTGGTTGGTAATACATTGAACAAACAAAATTGAGAGCTTTAAGTTGAACCGATGCGAAATAGCATTGTTTGTACGTTTTAAATCTATATGTTGTACACGAAATTACTCCATGTGATTCAATCTGCTTACGAAAATAATAAGCCGAACGGTATGTTTTGAATGTGCGCAACATTTCCTTTCGACGAATATTTTTTAATGAGATGGTACTTAAGGTTTGTGAGATTGTAATTTTATACAGTGAATCAATTGTGAGATGAGCTTGTTATGTATAAAAGATGTCGTGCAAATGATTCATAGTCGAAATATATAGATATATTTTTCGGGCAGCATCATCAAATTTTTTGTTTCAAACAAAATGCTTTGCACGTTAGGCTTGCTGCGAGAGTTCTGTACCTCATTTTATAATTTAATGTAGAAGACATATCAATTTAGATCCTCTGCATGGTGCACATTAATGGCAAAGTGATTTCTTCTTTACACTCAATGTTTTCGCAATATATTAAATGTCCATATTTTATTTAAGACGATTTGTACATACATCACTCACATGCTCCGTGTTTCGTTTATTTATTTATTTAATTTTTCAATTATTCATTTATCTTGTTCAGTAAGCTATGCATGTTTAACCCAGGGCAAACGTTCTAATCAACTTCCACATTGCTAACGAATGAACACACGAGAACACACGATTGAAACGACAACATGATATCTCAACACTATGATGAATAGTGAAACTTTTACCAAAATTATAAACCTTTTTGAGTAAATTAAGGACTTTTTGATTTGAAATATGTTGTGAGGAGGTCGTATTTACAATTCACCACATTCTGTTATCTTGAAAAATGCGATAGTTTGTGTTTATTTAGACAGCATTCATCGTTTTTCATTGTAGCTAATTCAAATCTCTTTCAAAACGAGTCACACGAAAGGTATTCATATAGATTCAATCTTATATCTTGGGGCTTTCATCTATTCGTTCATTCAAATTTATACACAATATTCACGTCCTATTCATCATATATACGATTAAAATTTCTCGCCTATACCAGTGAATAAGGTGTATTTTAAACTGCAGTGTACACACACAGAGAATCGACGAAGATCCGAACAAAAGAGAATGAAAAAACATGCCATAGACGAAATATACACCAAATATACACCAAATATACACCAAATATATGCAGTTATGCACATTTATTTGCGCGTATTACAGATGATTTTGCAATATGTTATTACTATTTACAGTATAAATCGTATACATTTGAAGATAAAAGCCCCTAGTCTTATATATTACATAGACCCGCATGTGTAACACAATGCATTATATTTTAGAAGAGCCAATTTAGATTTAGCCATCTGAAGAAAGACCAAAACGAACCAAAATATTTATCATGATATGATATGTTATTGTTGGTAAAGTGCATTTATTTTAACTTCGGGGTGCCTAAGAATTGAACTAATGTTTTATATGTTTTTACTACAAAAAAATACATGTATGACATATGCAGTAAATTGAAAACAGCATGATATTCATGTGTATGACACTTACAAATGAATTCATACACCTTTCTTCCATAAATTGTTATAATCGAATCTTTGATAGAAAAATTGCCTTCACATAGACCATTTTCAGAGTAATTTTGTGTTTCAAGTCGATTTTCTTCGTACAAAACCCATTTTATTTTTAATCCAAAATTTTATCGTAAACCTTAACCTTAACCTTTGCTAAGTATGGAACAATAACATCTTACACTTTACCGTCCAAGATACATGTACGCTGCCATTGTTTTTGTCACTTTTTTTATACATGCTGAAATTTGTTCAAAATGTAGAAAGAAAGAAAAAATAAAAGGACGAAAAAAGTAACATTCAAGCTCCATCAAATTTGTAGGTACTTCGTTTGGGCACGAGTTGACCAAAATGTCGAATTGCTTTGGCATCATGTTTCAAAATAGTTGGCCGGTTTGTTATTTCACTCGTATAATGTTTGTGAAAATTAATGGATGCTGTTCCGTTGATTGCAAGCGAACTGACATTTGCTATGGCCACTTCACGTTGATCATCGGTTATTCTCGCATCGTCCAATACTTCCAAGTATGGTAAATTACCAATTACATACATCCTACAAATTAATTTGCTTTCTTAATTTAGTTTTGGGTGGGAAAAAAAATACCATGCAACCTCTGTGCACACTGAACGATAAAACTCACATGTAATCGTTATTTTCAAGCGATGAGCCACCATTGAATGTTGACCTTATACCAGGATTGCCCATTAGTGATAGTTGTTGTATGTTTGGTGTACAAATGTTTATTCGATGCACCCATTTTGCCAATTGTCTTATCCCGCATTTGTTCAGCCACAAAATGCGCACACTTGGCAAAAATGGTAATGTCTTTTCATTTAACGATATATTATTATCAAGAATTAGTGTGTGCAGTATTTTGAAATTTGATAAAAACATCAGATCTCTAAATTGTGTCGAACAAAGATGATTGTAGTTTTTTAAGCAATATCATTTAATGATGATAAACTTTGCTGCTTCGAATTTGTGTTTACATACTTGATATTATTGTGGCTCAAATCGAGTGTATGTGTTCGGAGTGCAAATTTGTCGGCTATCTTTCTCGGTATAGCGGGTAAATGTTCATATGCCAATGAAATTCGTCCGTCATCTTCTTTATATGTTAACTCACTGAATTTGGATGGATAACACGACAAAAACAAAATAATGATTATAATTGTCGTCAAGCGAAAAATATAGACAGAAAGGCATCATACAAATTCGGTTTGGATTTATAGGAATATGCCATTAAATCGTCCATGAAAATTTCATTATAATCGATCGTTGATTTGCAATCAATTCCATCAATATTAAAACTACTGTTGGCCAAAGTTATCTTCAACTGCAACAACCTTAAAATTGAAAATTGATGTACATACAAAATTACTAATCAATTGTGATACTTTAAAACCACAATACACAGTACGCACACAACAATTCTTCACTTATATCTTTGAATCAACGGAAATATTAATCCAATAAAATGATGCGGATTTTCAACCACAATGATTGTTGACGACAATATTGAAAATAGAATCTATTTTTATATAAATGAAATTCGTCGAATGGCATCTTTACATTATTTACACAGAATATGCATCGAATCGATATCGAATTGCAAGCACGCCAATTATCACCATCAGTTGCGTCTAATTAATCATCATTTGTGACCTTTTTTGTTTTGTATACTCTCCGTTTCCTTTAAAGTTGAAATTGTGGTGCCTATTGTTTACATCCACATCTCGACAGAATCAGTTTTTTTCTCGTTTCCGAGATAATCGATTGAATAAAATGAAAATAAATCAAATTATAATGAAGTGTACTTTGTTGATACCGATCCCAATATACGATTGAATTTCATTATGCGAATTTGAATTGTGTGTATGTGAGTGTGTGTACAAAATACAAATAACAACCACTTACTGCTGTGTCGTTTCACTGGAAATGAAATCGTTTTCAGTGTTTTCAGGTGGATTCGAACTATTTATACAAGTTTCATCCATCACGAAATCCATACGAGAATCAATATGTGAAACTGTAATAAACACAAACCAAACCAAGTCAACTCAAGTCAATAAACGACTAAAACTATGGGGACAATAGCTAAGAAAGTTTTGTCAATTTTGACTTTCAAACACGATTCCCTTTACATGCATTTCAGTTTACTTTATCACTTTCAAAACATTGATTGTCTATTCGGTTCTGCTTGCATTGATACTTGTTTTTATCGTTAATCAGTGGGCGTGTTATCATCATTTCAAAAAGCAAATAGAAATCCATTTGAAATAATTGCTTGAATTGCATAGAGAAAATCCACACATGAAATCCGTTTTTTTTATTACCTCGGATGCGGATGGTTATTGCAAACAATAAGCACACTCACATACCCACACACACATAATTTAATGAAACGATTTCGCAATACTTGAATCAAATCGAATGAATTGCATTAAAATAAATTGAAATCGCATTAATTGGCATATATGCTCCATTTTATTAGAATATTTTTCGAATTGAATTGGTTATTCGATTCAATTCGCTTTTTTCTCGCAATGATGTATATAACAGAAAATCTTATTAATAATGCATATATTTGGATTTAAATGTTATCTATTTTTTATTGAGATAAAAATCTGTAAATGGCACTTAGCGCCATCTGTTAATAGCATTTGGACATACATACAAAAATGTTCACAGACAATGTTTGTAATGCGTAACTGAGATTTGGATTTTCTGATGCATACATGAAAGATGTTTTTAATCTCTTTATTACTCATTTTATAAATTATTGAGCAATCATTAAATTTGCTATAGCAATTTCTGTACTTTCTTCAGAACTTTCACTATAATTGACGAAAAAAAAAATATTCGAATAAAATTTGAAGCGAACAAAAAATGTTTTTCTTTTCAAAAAAAATTAAATTTTCAAGACAATCAATCTGTTAAGATTTCTTAACGAAAAATATTCCATTACGGAAAAGTATTTTCCATAAAAGATTTATTTGTTCGATTTTAGCAATAAATTGTTCATTTTAAAAATTTGATTCGCCTGAATTTTGAAATCAATATTGATTTTCCAATCACTGATTAAGAATAATTACGCTAAACCAAATTTCCACACCCAATACATTTGCTGAAATATGTGCTTCATGACGTTCAGGTCGAGTCTTATATATTCAAAGCGATTTTTGATGTAAGTCAAATAAAACAGTTTTTAACCTTAATTGTATGTTGCACAGGAAAATCGTCGTAATTATTTTAATTGAAAATTCTTAAATAAAAATTAATGAATACAAAATGTCTGCGGCTCATAAATAATATTTAATTGAAAACGATTTTAAATTAAAAATTGTTGGAATTGTAGTAGTTTTGGTTGGAATTATTTCTAAACATTTCTATGTAATACTCAATGTATATTTTTGTGTTCATGGAAAATAAACTACACAATGTTGAAATGGATGTTCGACATCATCATTGATTATAAATGTATTCACAAAACTGAAACCACTTGTTCATTTATTATGTTGATATTCTAATAATTTTCTTTTGCTGAATGTTTTGGTCTCGAAATTAATTTTTGTTTATAAAATATTTGCAATTTAAATGACAATAAACTAGACGGTACTTCGTATAATATTTCTGTAATTGTTTTCGGGTGCTTGTGATTTATATGTGTCCCTCTCTGTGTGTGTTCGTAACTCGTTTGATCGTTCTGCCTCAATTCAAAAAAGGCTAGTTGGATTTAACGTCAAGATTTCCGAATGCATTCTCCAATGCTGACAGTGATACAGTGTTTTTTCCCTCCTCATCTGCTTCGCTATTGTACTTTGCTTGAATTTTTGTTAAAATCAATTGTGCCAATTTTTGAGCATCTTTTCGCTTATTCACCGATGATCTGGATCCACTTATTTGATTGCAACACTGTAAGATAATCAAAATATTATATTATTGAAGAAAATTCAAATGATTCGATTTGATTTCACAATAGAATATACCAAATATAGTCCATATAATGCACGCAAATTATTTGGATTCAATTTGACCGCCTGTGAATAGTATGTTTTGGCCAGCTCAATGTTTTCTAATCCACCCTGTGTATGCAGATAATAAAATGCATCGTTTCGTCAATAATTTAAATTAAAACAAAAAAGAAGTATAATTGAAATTGCTGAACAAAAAGACAAACTTACCATTGTGTAACGAATTTCTGCGATACGCTGATGGTACAAATGATTATGTGGATTATGTAGCAATAATTCTTCCATACAGAATGCTGCTTTGCCAAATTCACCTTCGGCCATATATAAATTGGATAATTCATGCCATGCTTCTTGGTCTGACATAAACCTGGGCCGAAGAAAATCAATGAACTTCATTAATGAAACAAGACTGTATAAAACATTTTGTCAAATTGATGTACATACAATTTTGTATAATCGCAAAGTTCCCGAATCGCCTCGGTATTTTTGCCTTTGGCTTTGTAAATGGCAATTTTTCGTTTTCGCGGCGCCGCATTCGTTTCATCTTGTGCAATAATTGCATTCAGTACATCTATGGCTTCATCAAACATTTCCAATGCTTCGAGTCGCATCGCTTTGAATTTTTGTACACGTAAACTGCCCGGAAATTCGTTTGATAGCTTTCGTATACAACTTTCAGCGATTGGGATTCGATTACAATCTAGTGCAGCAATGATCACTTGCTCAAGTACCAAATGACGTTCACCATCCAATTTATTTTGTTTTTCATCGAGAATCGTTTCCCACAAATGAATGATTTCATCACTTCGACGTTCATTGTCTTCGCGCCACTTACGGAACAGATCACGAACATCTGCAAGAAAATCAAACAAAAACAAATCGCATCTAATTAGCGTTTGTGGTACAAATCAAATGACACATCATAAATTATATTGCATTTGTTTAGCCTAAAAATGAGTGAAAAATGTCATGCAATCTATTTATATCGCATTTATTCCATTCATTACTCACCCGACCAACTCATATCATCGTGCATATAATCCATTTTCATTTAATACTGACTGTTTTAACAATTTCGATATTTCAATTGGAATTTTTCAACCAGTTTCAATCTAAAGGAAATTCACACGATAATTTATTAATAAAAAAAAATACAATGACAGAAATTGAACGACATGGAAACTGTCACGATGCTTGTCAAAACCAATACATCCATAAATACAATGCGATTCGCCAGAAAACCGCATCATATGACAGTTAATCGATGAAATTCTGGTCTAACATATCGAAAAAGGGTTTATTTTGCAATTTTATCATTTCAATTAATTATTCGCGCTGAAATAACGCAACAGAAGCATCTTTTTTGCATTTGTTTCGAAAATTCGACGTTTTTTCTGTATTCAGCAAATGTAACTCATTTATGGCAACACCAAATTTCGCGCTGCGTACACATCCAACTTCACCACGGTTTAAGTTTCCCGCTATTTTTGTATACATATGTCATATGCAACAAGCGTTCATTTGAATTGCGTTCGAATTGAATTCTTTTTAAAATTCACTCAACAAAATATACACATTTTACACATTCAACAACATTTTTTAACTACAATGGCTGATGAAGAACAAAGATTACGTGATATTCAACGCGAATATTTGGATTTTTTGGACGATGAGGTATGTATTTGATTCATTTAATGTATTCGATTATAGATTGGTTTACTTTTTGCTAATAGTGTGCGACACTGATTGAAGCGGAAATGTTTCATCAAATTCAAATTGATATTTATAAAATTATTTCAATCAACAATTTCAACGCAATGAATTTACTAATAAAATGTGATTGAAATGGTTATTAACATAGGAGGATCAAGGTACATACATGGTTTTAGTGAAAGATATGATTGCGGAGAAATCAAAGCGGTTAATTGTGAATATAAATGATTTGCGAAAGAAAAATCCAAGCCGTGCACAATCGTTGTTGACCAATGCATTCGATGAACAATTGGCATTCTCCAGAGCTCTCAAAGAATATGTATCGACACTTCAACCGAGCTTCGCCAAAACCTTTGAGGATTTCTTTGTTGGTTTTGAAGGTAGCTTTGGTGCTCGTCATGTTACACCACGTACATTAAATTCAAGGTAACATATTTTTTGCTAATTTTCAATGAGAACGATTTATATTTGAAAACAAAAAAAAAAGATTTTTCCTGCTAAGTAACTGCTGTGCTTATTTTTTTACAAAAGAGAATTCGATTTCCCCTAAAAAAAATTGTTTGGATTATAGTTACGTTACATTTCTCAATAAAATTTCATGTGTGTATTCCGTTTGATTTACAGATACCTTAGTAATTTGGTGTGCGTTGAAGGTATTGTAACAAAAGTGTCATTGGTTCGGCCGAAGGTAGTACGAAGCGTTCATTATTGTCAAGAAACAAAGAAAACGATTGAACGCAAATACACCGATTTAACATCATTTGAAGCTGTACCAAGCAGCTCTGTATATCCGACTAAAGATGAAGACGGCAATTTGCTTGAAACCGAATACGGTTTGTCTGTGTACAAAGATCATCAAACATTGACAATTCAAGAAATGCCCGAAAAGGCACCGGCTGGTCAATTGCCACGTTCCGTCGACATTGTCTGCGATGATGATTTAGTCGATCAATGCAAACCAGGTGATCGTGTACAAATCGTTGGCAATTTCCGATGTCTACCTGGTAAAAGTGGTGGTTATACAACGGGCACATTCCGTACTGTTGTCATTGCAAACAATATTTCGCAATTGAATAAGGAGAGTAATTTGAATATTTCACGCGAAGAAGTGGCTCAATGTAAAAAATTAGCCAAAAACAATGACATCTTTGAGTTGCTTGCAAAGAGTTTAGCACCATCCATTCATGGGCATGCATATGTTAAAAAGGCAATACTTTGTTTACTATTGGGAGGCGTTGAAAAGGTCTTGACAAATGGAACACGGTTGAGAGGGTAAGTGTTCACTTTCAATGCGATAAAAGAGAAAACGTATAATAATTTTAATGAATTTTGAATTTTATAGTGATATCAATGTTCTGTTGATCGGAGATCCTAGTGTTGCCAAATCGCAATTGTTGCGTTACGTTTTATACACAGCGCCACGTGCCATTCCAACAACCGGCCGTGGTTCCAGCGGTGTTGGTTTAACAGCAGCCGTTACAACTGATCAAGAAACTGGCGAACGACGCTTAGAAGCCGGTGCTATGGTTTTGGCCGATCGTGGTGTTGTTTGTATTGATGAATTTGACAAAATGAGCGACATCGATCGAACAGCCATTCACGAAGTCATGGAACAGGGTCGAGTTACCATTTCAAAGGCCGGTGTACATGCATCATTGAATGCACGTTGTTCCGTATTGGCTGCCGCCAATCCCGTTTATGGAAGAGTAAGAGTGTTTTTTTTATTTCTTTTTAATTTGTCGTTCGATCAATATTCAATGAAACCATTTTTTGTTCTTTAACAGTACGATCAATATAAGACGCCAATGGAAAATATCGGGCTACAAGATTCGCTATTGTCTCGTTTTGATTTATTATTTGTTATGTTGGATACCGTTGACAGTGACAATGATCAACGCATCGCTGATTTTGTCGTACGTATGCATCGCTATCGAAATCCAAAAGAACAAGACGGTGGTGTACTTCCAATGGGTGGCAATTATGCGGAATTTTTGACCACATTCAATCTACAAAACGAAACTGAAGGTACAAAAGAGATGCAAATTTATGAAAAATATGATGCACTTTTGCATGGTAGTTCGCGTACACGTTCGGAACAAGTGTTGTCGGTGCAATTTATGCGCAAGTACATTCATCTGGCCAAATGTTTGAAGCCACGCTTAACACAAGAGGCATCCGATGTAATTGCCAATGAATATTCACGTTTGCGATCACAAGATCTGGATGATTCACATATGGCAAGAACACAACCAGTTACAGCACGTACATTGGAAACGTTAATTCGATTGGCAACGGCTCATGCTAAAGCACGCATGGCAAAAACAATATCTGTTACGGATGCCAAAGCGGCCATTGAACTTGTTCAATTTGCCTACTTCAAAAAGGTTTTGGAAAAGGAAAAACGTAAGCGTCGTCGCAGCGACGATGGCGAAGATTCCGAAAATGACGATGATGATGATAACAATGACACCGAAAATACGGTGTCACAACCGTCTCAAGGAACACGCAAATCAAAACGTACCAAAACCACGGATGACACTGAAACAATGGACACCGAAGATATTGATGACACACCCATTGTACAACCAGTTGATGCTGGCGATTTGACAAAGCGTACAACACGAAAATCAATTGGTGGCCGATCAACGCAACAGTCAAGCGAAGGTACAACAACAACTGAATCAAGCACTGTTACACAAAATTACATCAGCCAAGATCGTCTAACGGTGTTCAAGCAAAAATTGAATCAAGCATTCCGCGATGTACGAGAACAAACATTGGCCATCGAAGCATTAACCGGAGCCATCAATCAAAATATCGAACAACCATTTAGTTTGGCTGAAGTTAATGCAGCCATCGATCACATGTCCGAAGCAAATCAAATTATGGTCGCCGATGGCATTGTATTTCTTATTTAATTTACATTTTCATATCGACCTTTTCACCTTTTTTATTATTTTTTTTAACTTTTGATTTGTTAGTGTTTCATTGTTTTAAGCATTTTTTCTCATTTTATCATCAAATTCACATTAAACATTAAGCAATAAAGGAACTACCGATGAACAAAATTATGTACTTAAGATTATCAATAGCATAAATTCAACAAATTGTATCATTATGGATTTTTTTTGAGCTGCATATGACAGGTCTGAAGGCTTGTGTTCACTTTACAAGAGAAGTTTTAATGATTCAAACTATCAAACCAACTCCAATCCACGATAGCAGTATATAAATGTGTGATTTGTAAACTTTTTGACATTCAAAAACCAAATGACACCGATGTATTTATTCCACTTTTTCGTATCTTAATCTCCGATTCAAATTAATCTGAAAATGAATGTTCATATAACCATTATCCGAATAAATAATTTTGTTATGAAGAAATGAAAAGAATTGTTTACATTTTTCTTTTTTAGACTAATTAATATCACAATTTACCAAAGTATTCAATTTGGGAATTTCTCTAATTAAAATCTTTCTCTATTATGCTATAGCCACTTGTGCATAATGATTTGGATTCTATTGGAGAAACTATGCGAATTTAAAAGTTTCGCATTCAAAAATATTTAACTTTTATCTACATTAATCAATTTATTTATATTTCATCACCAAACAATGTAGATCAATTGCATGCAATTAAATTGATGATATTTGCAAGACTTATTTGTATGGTGACCGATCTGAAAATAGTTCCAAAAAGCGGTTTCATTTCGATTTCAAAGAAAAATTCATACATCGAAAAGTAAGCGAGTTTCACGTTTCCAAAATAATGTGAATAATTATTTGAAATATAAAAATTCATTTCGAAAAAAAAAACAATAAAAGATAGCTTAATGAAATTCAATTACATTTTACATTAAGAAAATCACTTTCAAGCTGGTACATATCAAAATGTAGGTCATCCGTCAGTCCGTACAAGGTAATTGGCATTTTTTCGCATTACAGAAAACTAAGACGGCCTAAAAAATTATCTATAAATGGTAACATTTTTCTAAGCAACCAAAACAAGTATTTTTTAAGTATACATTTAAAATTTAACGAACTGCGCATTTCACAAAATATTCGAGTTTCACAGTCGCATTCTTACTCATCAGCTGTTCACATAATTTTGCAAGACTGAAAATGAACAAATATTTCACACCGTGTCTGAAAAATCTACATTATGGAGATTCCATATGTTGCCGCTGCTGTCTCAGTGCCTACTCAGTCCACTGATGGGTTCGTACAGTCAGCCTCAACAAAATCGTCGCAACTAAGCAACACAAATCACTCTCTCTCTCCTCCAACGACTTTGGTGTGCAATGATATTTATTATCAAAATGTTCGTGGCTTGCGCACCAAATCAAAACAATTTTTCTGCAATTCGTCGGCATTTGCACATTCGATTGTTGTTTTAACGGAAACATGGTTGAACCAGTCTCATTTTTCGTCAGAATTCTTTGACAATTCATACCATGTTTACCGTAAGGATCGTTTTGAGACTGGTTCATTGTTAAGTCGTGGTGGTGGTGTACTCATCGCAGTCACCTCAAAACTAACATCCACCAACATTGTATTCGATGACACAAGTGAATTGGAATATGTCTGCGTTAAAGTCAGCATTAATACAAAACTCAATGTATTTATTTATGCTGCGTATATTCCGCCTAACTCACAGCCGGAAATATACAAACGCCACTCGATTGCCATAAGCCATATTCCATCGAGCCCAATTGACACTATTATTGTATTGGGAGATTTTAATCTACCCCTTGTCAATTGGATTATGGATGACGATGAACATAATGTTCTCATTCCAACTTGCGTCACTCCACAGCATGCGGCGGTTTTTATCGAAGACATCACTGCCAATGGTGTCTATCAGATAAATTCTATTCGCAATGCCAGCAATAAACTGCTCGATTTAATATTTACGAACGATTTCACGAACGTCGAAGTTTCTTGTCCACCGCCTTTATCTGCCATTGATGAACAATATCATCCACCTATTCTCTTGACGTATGAATGGCACATAAATAACTTAACTCAAGAGCAAATTCCAACTAGAAACTTCCTTAAAGCCGACTACATTGCAATGAATAGGTACTTTGCCGAAATCGATTTTTCCGAACACTTTTCAAATAAGCCTCTTGACCATAAAGTCGACATTTTGCACCAAATTATTGACGAGGCGATTGAAAAGTTCGTACCTGTTCGAACGAAAAAGATTACATCGAAATGTCCGTGGAACAACAAGCAACTTCAGTCTCTCAAAAATAAAAAGAACAAGGAGTGGAAAAGATCGAAGTCAACTAACAATGACTCTGACTATTTGCTTGCGCTTGAAAATTACAGCAAACTTAACACGGAACTGTACAATTCGTATGTCGACAAAATGACTTCTTCATTGAAGTCCGACCCTACATCGTTCTGGCGTTTTGTCAACACGAAGAAAAACAGTGACTGTGACCCAAAATCGTTGCATTATGGTGACAAATCATCGGTTGATAAGATGGAGCAAGCTGAAATGTTTGCAACATTTTTCAAAAATAATTTTGCAAATCAACCGTCTCTAATTCAATCGACAGCACAAGCGTCAACTCAAACAAATTCTTCCGTTGACAATTTCATTCTTAACGAATTTTCTGTTTTTGACGAGTTACTAAAAATTAACTCTAAGAAAGGCGCAGGACCGGATGGAATTCATCCAATCCTTCTTAAAAATTGTGCTGGCTTATTATACGAACCGCTGTCAATGATTTTCAATGATTCGCTTTCCACTGGACACTTTCCTACGAGATGGAAACGTTACAGCGTTGGACCAATATTCAAAAAGGGATCACGTTCTAACGTTGAAAATTATCGGTGCATTGCCAAATTGCCAACGATCGCCAAGTTTTTCGAATATTTGATTAATTTGGAGATCAGCAAGATGGTAGCCGATAAAATAGTTCCACAACAACATGGTTTTATGAAAGGTCGCTCGACTTCGATGAATCTTTTAGAATTCCTGCACTATTCTATGAAGGCAGTGAACGAAGATAAGCAGGTAGAAGTACTTTATACTGACTTCAGTAAGGCATTCGACATTGTTGATCATTCGATTCTTATTTCAAAACTACGAAACTTTGATCTGCCTCCTAACTTAATCGAATGGATCAAATCGTATTTGTCAAATCGTCGTCAATTCGTGAAATATGGGCAAATGGAGTCAAGTGAGTTTGTCGTTAACTCAGGAGTTCCTCAGGGAAGTCACTTGGGCCCCACCCTATTTCTGCTTTTCATCAACGACATTGTTAATTCCATTAAGGATGACGACATTTTTATCTCTCTGTTTGCTGACGATTTGAAATTGGCAACTTCAATCGCTAACACCAATGACTGTATCAAACTTCAAGTTGCAATCAATAAATTAAAAAATTGGTGCGAAGCAAACAAACTTCATTTAAATCTTGACAAATGCTCTGTTATGTCAATATCAAAAAAGAGAGATCAAATCGTAAGTTCCTACTCTTATGGCAGTCACAAATTCAAGAGAGTGAGCGAACAAAGAGATTTGGGAGTTATCTTTGACAACAAACTTAACTTCATCAAACATATCGATTCAATCGTGGCTAAAGCAACATCAGCACTCGGATTCGTAAAGAGATTTTGCTACGATATTCCGGATGTCAATACTCTCAAGTCATTATATTGCGCCCTCGTACAATCAATCTTGGAGTATGGCTGTTTGGTATGGCTCCCGTACCATGATATACACAAGAACAAAATCGAATCGTGCCTGCGTCAATTCTCAATGTTTGCTCTCAAGGAGTATCCAAATATTTCAAATGACTACAGGATTTCATCGTACAGCACTCGCCTAGGCAAACTAAACATGCAATCACTCCAAAGGCGCCGTATCAACGCATCAATTCTATTCATTTTCGACTTGATGCAAAATAACGTTCACTGCCCATCACTGAAGACTGAAATTGCCCGCAATCAAAATGGACGTAACTTAAGATGTGTGGAGTACTTCAAAATCAATGACAAGAACTTCAAAATCAATCCATCAGTACCAATCAACCAAATGTGCAAAATGTCAAATAAGGTCCACGAACTATTTTCAACGCAATCAAAACGATCAACTTTCAAAACTCGACTTTTAGCCTTAAGCGATGACCATTTTTCTAACTTGTCATTGGTGTCTAACTATAACACTGTTTTCTTTAACGATCTAATGTGATACATTGTGATTTTTGTAAAGATGTAAATTATTTATTTATCCAATTATTTATTTAATTATTTATTTATTAATTATTTTCTGACTCATTGTAACCGCGTGCAATTTGAAAATGTTTAGTATTTATAAGTGTTTTTTGCTGTTTGACAGTAATTTGAACAGTTTACTATTAACTATTTAGCTATTACTGTAAGAAGTAGCTAATTAGTTATTAGAAATCTTTATTAAAAGATGTGGTTTTTAACGGTGATCAGATGTATACCAAATGTGTATCATTGATTCATACCTTTTTCCCACCAAACAAATGTATAAAAATTATGTACAAACTCAAAAGATTCAGCCAGTTTTGGCGGTGAATAAATATTATTATTATTATTATTATTGATTTACAAAAAAAATATATCAAAGGCTTCACACTGAATTTTAAGTCATGCCATTTTGAAATTGTTCAAGGCGCATTTATTCGCTAGGGGTTTTAATGTTCAAACTTTTACTATTATCACTACAAATAGTGAAACATAATGATAACAAATCTACAATGTGCGCAAATAAATGTGTATAAAGATGTATAACTGCATAAATTTGGTGAATATTTCTTGCATGTTCCATCTATGGCATGTTTTTTTCATTTCCTGTTGTGCGGACTTTCCTCGATACATTTTAAAATATACAATACGTCTTATTCACTGCTACAAACGAGAGATTTATGTCGTGTATGAATAAGACGTGAATATCATGTATAAAATTGTATGACCGAATACATAAAAGCCCCTAGTTTATTTGCTCAAGAAATTCGAAATCATTAATTCAATTTAAACAAATTAATTAAGAGCAATAATCGGCTCCGGTATTGCTTGTTCAGATGCGACCTGCGGCATCCAACCAAGTAAAAAAGTAAACATTGCTATATCTCTGTTGGTAACAATGGTTGGTAATAAACACAAAGGTGCATTCATTGTTAAACATTGCAACAATTCGATACCAGATATCATAAAAAATATTATCATATATATATATAAGTGATACGTCAATTGGCTCATGTCACAATCAAATTTCGTTTGTGAAGCTGTGTGAATCTCTCAGTAAAAATGTTGCCGGAGTTGCGAATTGTGTTGATTTTACTTTCCATTTTTTATTGGTACGTTGAATTAGACATTTATGCTCATTGAAGTGTTGTTAAAAAGAATTTCTATCCTTAGTTGTGCGGGAGATAAAATATACGATGAAGCAGTAAGAAATACGGATAAATATATGATTAAAGATAAAGAATTATACAAAACAAGGAATTGTCCACCCTCAAATGTAAGAGTAACAATTTAGCAATTGTCACATTTAATTAGTGTTGGATACATACATGGGCATGGTTGATATTTAAGCAGGCAATATATTGAATTAACTGGTCAGTTGAGCTGACAGTACGTTAGCCAGCTAAATGGGCTAAAACAATAGACGTTATTGTTTTAATGATGAATCACTTTTCTTGTTTTAATAGAAGTGATTGTTCATTATAACAATAACTTCTATTGTTTGAGTCCATTTAGCTGGCTAACGTACTGTCAGCTCAACTGACCAGTTAGTTCAATATATTGTCTGTAATTTAAGGAGACCCAAAAAAATTCGAAGAATTTTTCCATAGGAAGAAGGGGGTTTTCATTCGTCTCCAATCAAAATCGAAAGATTTTTTCTCATTAAAAAAACCCTAGAAATCAAAAGAAATGCTCAAGTGCCACCTGGGTAAAAGCTCAGACGATTTAGGGGGTTATCTGTGCCCATGTTTAATTGGATGATATAATCAGTTGTTAATTGTTTAAAAAAAAAATTGAAATTTCAGTATATGTATTCGTTTGCACTTGAAGTTTTTGGACCAACACCCGAAAATAGGGATGCAGAAATTTTGGTGGAGTACCAGCGATTACTGAAAAGATACGATCAATGCAAGAACGAAACATTTCAACATTGCTTGCGTAAATCGGGAAAAGACATTCCAAAAAAAGATAAATGTTTAATTTTCGATGGTGTTTGTGATTGCAATGAAAAGTATGATATTTTTACAAACATTCACTACCCTTGTACTTTTTTCACATTAAAATTTTTCTGATTCAGATACAGTAAACTCGATGGATCTTGTAATAATTTGCAAAATCCTAATATGGGACAGTCCAGAACGACATACAGTCGAATACTTGGACCAGTATATGCAAATGGTAAAAGTAATTTATTTTTAAGTAATTAATTATATTCACTAATAGAGATCTTTTAAAGGTATAAATGAAATTCGACGAACAGAGAGTGGTCATGAGTTACCAAATCCACGAATGATCGGAAATTTAATAGCAAAAGTACCATTGCAAAATGAGAATGATACTTATGAAATACCAAATGTTTGTGGCTTATTGTTGACACAACTGGCCGCACATGATACAAGCAGCCGAAAAGTTGTAACCATGGAAGGTTAGAGAATTTGAAATAATCTCTAATATATACATAATCCTGCATTTAATTAATCAAATAATATTGATTTTTTAGGCAATAACAGTTACGGAATAAGTTGCTGTAAAGCAGATTACAGTGGTCCTGAACCTCGGTCCAAACGTATTCGTGGTTGCATACCAATCGAGATACCGAAAAATGATCCATTTTATGGTCCATGTAAAATTCGTTGTCAAAATTATGCTCGAATGGAACCGACACTTCAAAACAATTGTGCAATGGGTTATGAACATGTAATTACGTGTTTACATCTTAATAACACTGAAATGTTCGAATTATATTAAATGTTCGCCCTTTTATAAATTCTAGGCAAATTATGCAACCTCATTCTTGGATTTGGATGTTATATATTCAACATCACATTCAGAAATGCAACAAATGCGTGCACATTGTGGTGGACGCATCAAGATGTGCTCGGATAATCTTCTGCCGGAAAAAGATGGTCAATTGTTTGCAGGAGACTTTCGTTATAATCAAACACCCTTTCTTGCTATCATACATTCACTTTTCTATCGTCTGCATAATAACATCGCCAAAGCATTAGAAAAACTCAACTCATGTTGGGATGATGATAAATTATTTTTCGAAAGTAGACGTATTACGATTGCATTCTATCAACATATTATCTATAACGAATGGTTGCCGCTGGTTTTAGGTGAACCATTTTTAAATATAAAATTAATTAAAAATCAATTAAAATACCGCTTTTCTCAGGCAAAGAACGATGGTTTTCTTACAAGCTGAACACTGCATCACATTGTGATAAATATAATCGTCACGTCAATCCAACGACACTGATCGAGTATGCGCACAATTCCATGAGATGGTTCCATATGAATGTTCCGTCAAAAATGGATTTAGTGAACTGTGATGGTAAACTGGAGGAGAGGATACCGTTATCTGATACATATTTAAAACTTGATTTATTTAAACACAAGTACAATGAATGTTTGGGCGGTATGTTGAAACAAAAGCAAAGAATGTATAAAGTGGGCTACACAAATCAGGTATAGAGAATTGAATTAAGTTTATTAAATTGCAAATCATTTATTTGATATTTGAAATTTATACTGCAGTTAAGGAACTTAGCCTTCAAGCGGCCATGGCATGGCAAAGAGGTTGGCGTTGATATATTCGCTATTGATGTTATGCGGGCTCGAGATTGTGGATCTGCTCCATATATCGCCTACTTTCCAAAGTGTGCGTCAGTGGAAATTACATGCTGGGACGATCTTAAAAAGTATTTTGATCCAAATAATTTGTTGACCCTGCAAACACTGTATGCTAAACCGTGTGATATTGAATTATATATTGGAATGCTTTGGGAGAAGAAAAACGGAAATGAAATGGGAACAATTGCGGGATGTCTTATTGCAGAGCAATTTAAGAACTTTAAGTCCGGTGATCGATTTTTCTACTCACACTGCGATAATCCGCACAAATTCTCAAAAGGTTTGCACACAATCAAATGTATTATTTAACGTTTTTTTTGGTTTAATCAATTTATTTATATTTTATCCCCAAATTATGTAGATCAATTGGACGCGATAAAAAAGATGACATTTTCTACGCTTATTCGCATGACAACAGATCTTAAAAAAGTTCCACAAAACGGTTTCATTTCAATTTCAAGAAAAAATCCATACATCGAATGCCACAAAATAAAACCAATCGATTTTTCGTCTTTCAAAGATCGATCATGTCATTCTTCGTCTCATTCAAAATGTCATTGTAGCTCACCATCATCATCGTCATCGTCATCATCATCATCATCATCATCATCGTCATCGTCATCATCATCATCATCGTCATCGTCATCGTCATCGTGTGGATGTGGTTCTTGAACAATCTACCAAATGTTCTATTTAAGCATTTGGATAAAAAAAAAATATCGTTAAAAAATATATATGTGTTTGAATTTCACTTTATTTATTGAACCCTTCTTTCTCAAGAATCTTATCGTTTTCCCTAAAGTAAAAACTATATTTCAATTCATATGTGGTTCTACGATACGGTGCAAAAAACTTATTACCATTCCTCGCGCCATCTCATTTCCTGAATATGGTAATCATTTGATTCCTGTGTATATCAAAAAGTCACACGAACAGTAGTGTATATCGATTCTAATGATATCATTCTCGGTTGGATAAGAGCTTGATTTGACGACTTATAATAAAGGCTAGAATAAAGGTCTCGATATTTGATGGCTGAGGCAGCTTTCTAACGATCAACGTGACATTCATCTCTGAGTCCTTGTGCTTAAATACATGAAACTTAAATCTTTTAACAAAATTATAATAAATAATGACTTAAATTAAATTAGTCAGTTCTCGTATATGCATTCAAACGTTGAAATGACTGCTCAAGTGGCACAAGCTCTGTAAGTTTAATATATACTGCAATGGTATTTATCAACAGATGTCTCAACGCTTTGTACTTCTACACGTTCAATTTGATACTCAAGTTGCAAACGCTTTTTAATGTCTGCAAGTGTGTGAAAATCTTGTGCATTGGTGATTTGTTCAAAATATAATGCTACCTATAGGCTATTAGCTATAGCTACAGGCTTTGTATATAGTCCAAATATTGAGCAAGAATAATGTGGTGAATAAGTTTGTATGCATAACCATTGGACACATCATTTTTGCAATTTATAAACAAGTATTTCCCGAAGTGGCGTAAAAATCTTCATGTATTAATTAACAAGAAAAAAAAATGATGAACGTTTCTCAACATTTTGAAACTCTTGACGCATTTAATTACTGAAAAGCAACGAAGTTATCGATTCAATTAAATAAAATGAGGGTGTATCCCAATGGTTTCGTTGAAGCAGATGTGCCGGGTATTGTGCCCTTGAGCAATAATCAATGTCAATTAATTTCTTAAAAAAAAAAAAACAAAATAATTAAATTTTTTTGAAACAGAAATAAATTTCAAGACTTGTGCAAACTGTTAAATATTGCAAGATTTTCGACGCAATAAAAAATGTCATCATCGATATGAATAAAAATGGTGAGCCAGTGTTGGTCGGTAAGACAATTCAACTTTAATTGTGATGCTGTATCTCTCAGTAAAAATGTTCTCCGTGTTAAAAATCATTTTGAGTTTATTCATAATTTGTTATTAGTAAGTTGAACTAGATATTTATGATCCAATAATTGTTTAGCTAAAATAATAAATAATGAATATCACAGTTGTTCCGGAGATGAGAACTTGGAAAAGGCAAAGAAAAATGTGGCAAATCAAAATGCAAAAAATGAAGAATTGTACAAAAAACATAATATTGGACCATCAGATGTAAGATAACTTATCATTATTATATGGTTACAATCACAATATTAAATTATCGTTGGTTAATAATCGAATGTATTTCAAAATGAAATTTTTTCAGTATATGTTTCTTTTTGCGCTAGAAGTTTTTGCACCAACTCCAGAAAATGAGAAAGCAAAAATTTTATTAGAATATCAACACATCGTAAAAAGGGACGGCCGATGCAAGAAACAAACATTTAAAGATTGTTTGCGTAAATTGGCAAAACACCTTCGAAGAAAAGATAAGTGTCCGATTCAGCATGAATGTGATCCAAAAGAAAAGTAAGATATTTTGATGAAGGAAAAAAACGCTATATTTCGCCACATTCTTCCGTTAAGCATATTCCATTTTGAATAATTCAGATACAGTCGAGTTGATGGGACTTGCAATAACTTGCAATTTCCGAATCGGGGAGGTGCTTCAACATCTTACAATCGTTTACTTACACCAATTTATCCCGACGGTAAATTTATTCTTCAAATCAAACAAGTTTTCCTTAATAGACATACACTTTTCAGGCATAAACGAAATTCCACGAGCTGTATCGGGTGAAGACTTGCCAAATCCGAGAATAATGGGAAATTTATTATCGAAAGCAGATAAATTCAAAGAAGACACTCATACTTGTGGTGATCATATAAATAATTTTTGTAGTGTCATATTTTGCCAATTAGTCGCACACGATATAGGCAGCCGAAAAGTGGTGACCATGTTAGGTTCGGATATTTAAAAAAATCTGTTAAACCATGTCTTGTTAATGATCCAATCTTTTAATTTTCAGGAAATAGTAGCAATGGCATTAGTTGCTGCAAAAAAGATTATAGTGATCGTCTACCGCCACATGAAAGTAATCCTAGTTGTATACCGTTTTCATTGCCAAAGAATGATCCATATTATGGTCCGAAAGATATCCGGTGTCAAAGTTTTGTGCGAATGCAAACGTCACCACATACTAATTGTACAGTTTCTTTTGAACAGGTAATATGGATACTTTTTAGCAGGGCACACTGCCAGATAAATTTATCGAATGTGATGAGTATCATATAATGATCTCATTTTGTTGTGATCTGCACTGCAGAGGCACAATAGGAAATACATGGGCATGTAAGTTGGAGTCTATATGCTCAGCAAGAACCAAATTGAAAATAAAAATTCTTGCCGATGCTAAAAAGGGGATTTTCCTTCCACCCGCATCAAAATTTAAGCGAATAGAACATTCAGATTTATACGCTATCTTCGCCCATGTATGCCACAGAAATATTAAAATACACACGAATATAATTATACGATTTATCCATCATCATTATTAAATTTATCTCATGGTATGCCCGAAATTTTTCAGGGGCCGCTCCTGAGAGCGTATAAGTACAAACGACAGAATCATCTAGGAGCGGTGCCCATAAAGCGCTCTGATTAAAATGTTAAACTTTTCACAAATACCAGGAAAATGAGTCCACGTCGTACTTGGATATGGATATTATTTATTCAGTAACTAATGAAGAACTGCAAAAAATGCGTGCTAATCATAGTGGTCTCTTCAATTTGAGTCCAGGGAATATTCTACCAATAGTAAATGGCAATTTAACTGCAGGAAATTTCCGTTTTAAACAAACCACCATTCTCGCTATCATTCATTCACTCTTATATCGTTTGCACAATTTCATTGCCGAATTATTGGCAGCAATCAATCCGTGTTGGAATGATGATAAATTATTTTTCGAAAGTAGGCGCATTTCAACTGCATGCTATCAGCATATAATCTACGTTGAATGGTTGCCACTGGTTTTAGGTGAGCTATTTTTAAAATTAAATCTAGTAACTTTTATGCTGGATAAAAATCAAAGGGAAAATTAGTACCAAAATACCGATGAGTATTTAAATATTGCGGAAAGTACCGAAAGTACAAAAAAAAACACCGATACCATCGTTTCATTCATTGTAATATCATTATATGTTTTCCGGTGCTCTTTTTGGTACTTTCGGCAATATTTTAACATTCGTTGGTATTTTTGGTATGTTGATACTAATTTGCCACTTGATAAAAATAAATTAAACCGTTGTATTACTCAAATTTCAGGTAAAGAACGTGCTCGCTCCTTCAAGCTGTATACTGAAATAAATTCCGATGAATATAATCCGCGCATCGACTCAACAACAACGAACGAGTTTACACACTGTGCTTTCAGATGGTTTCATATGAAAGTTCCGACAGACATTTTTGAAGTGGACGATAACGGTAAGCTAACGGGCAAGAGAAAGTTATCTGATACATATTTGAATCTTGATTTACTTGAACCCAATTACAATCCACTTTTGAGTGGTATGTTGAATCAAGAACAAAGAATGTATGAAGTTGGTTATACAGATGAGGTGAGAATTAAGACAATTGCTGGCATCCATTTACGCTCAAAACAATAAGCGTTGAATTTTTCTTTGCAGATCAGGAACAAATTCTTACAGAATACATTTCGCGGTGAAAAGGTTGGCTCCGACCTATTATCTTTTGATATTTTACGAAATCGAGATTGTGCCGTTGCTCCCTATATTGAGTATTTTCCGATGTGTTTGTCAAAAAAAATCAAATGTTGGGATGATCTTAAGCCATATTTTGAGGAAGAACATTTGAAATTGCTGATGGAAATATATGAAAATATCAAAGATATTGATTTATTGATTGGAATCCATTTGGAGAAACCATGCGGAAATGAAATGGGAGTGATTGGCGGATGTATTGCTGCAGAGCAGTTTAAACGCTATAAATTCGGCGATCGATTTTTCTACTCACATCGCAATAATCCATATAAATTCACAAAAGGTTTTCATTTTAATTATTTTGAATATTTTTTTTATTTTAACCGATTCATTTTATTTTCATCGCCGAATAGATCAACTACATGCTATAAAAAAGATGACATTTTCGAGACTGATTTGCATGCTGACTGACCTGAAAATAGTTCCAAAAAGCGGTTTCATTTCAATTTCAAAGAAAAATCCATACATCGAATGTCATAAAATAAAACCAATCGATTTGTCGTCTTTCAAAGATCGATCATGTCATCCTTCGTCTCATTCAAAATGTCATTGTTGCTCATCATCATCATCGTCATCGTCGTCATCGTCATCGTCATCGTCATCGTCATCGTCGTCATGTAAATGTTAGTGTCCGTGTAAAGGACAATTATGATTTCTGCTGATTAAACATTTTCTTATTTTCTACACAATAAAATCCCCAGAGTATTGCGCAGTGCTGCTGCCATCCACAGCATATTAAAATTACTGAGAATGCATCGTCCGTCGCATGCGAAGGTACGTAGCAGTTTTTACATCACCGCGAACAACAATACATGCATTGTTCTCTATACAATCGTTTGAATGTTTTGAGTGACATAATCGTGAAGAGAACAATGCATTCATTCTTGTTCGCTGTGATGTATAGACTGCTACGTACATTCGCATGCGACGGACGACGCATTCTCAGCCAGATATGCTGTGGATGGCAGCAGCATTGAGCAATACTTTGAAAATCCCATAAAAAAAGAAAACTCAATTCGTTTTTTTTTTTGTCTGTATACTTTATTGTGAAGTAGCATCGGGGTCATATCTTCATACGATAATTCTCGTTGAAAGCGATTAAATTTATTATTTTACATCATTTATTAAATAAGAGATTGAGTTTGTGTGTTGAAGCAAACTTAAATTTTTTTTTTACTTTTTCTTTTTCATCTTAAAATTTACTATATTAACAATTTATGACTGCATAATAGCGTCAGAGAATGAAAGTGAGAAATGAATATTGTTTTTATTTTTCATACGAAACCAGAGGGACAAACATATGGATAAAACTTTCTTTCCCAACAAATGTTTTTCAGTAACAGTAAAAACATTACCACTGTTGTTGATGTATTACGAACGAAATTGGGAATGGCTCATATTTAAATGAAACGTTTGTTTTGAATTCAAAATGAAATAATCCGTTGAAACTTAAAATAAAAGAAGATATTTCCGAATCGTTTCAGCAATATTGGCCATTCAAAACATGAGATAGACCTCCTCATTTTTGTATGAATCAAAATGAATTTTAATTTTACACCGCATGCAAAAATAGATCATATGGTTGTTATCGTATTTTTTTTTTACATTAAGCAGTCAATTACAATTTATGAATTGTATTCGTTTGATTTTAACCATAAATGTTATGTGTTTATATACATAAGAAAAATGTTTCATCAGTTGATCCTCTTTATTATTAATATTATAATTAAAATTACTATGTAAATTAAATTAAATTATAATAAATGCTATATCGAATTAAAAAGAAAACAAATTTAAACGAAACTAAAATTCATAAATTACAAAATTTCCATAGGAAATTTTCGGCTTTGTTTGGTCTACGATAAATGTTAAATGCAATGAAATTATCGAGTTTAAACGAAGATAGGTTGAATGTAATGAATGAAAAAAATAATAATTAGAAATTTAAAATGAAAAAGTCAGTCGATGATTTCAAATAGACAAAAATATGATTATCGTCGAAGCTGAATATGCATATTAAATAAATAAAACACTAACAAATTCTATCAATAAATATCCACGGTTATTTGCTGCATTCAAATGTTTCGCTTACAGCTTATTTGTTTTGTTTTGATTTTTTTTTGTATTTGTGTGTGCATGTGTATTTTTGTGTGAGTGAAAAAATGCTGTTTTTTGCTGTTTCTTTTATAAATAAACTATAGTTTTAGTTTAGTTAGACTTTGAGCTTATAATATGTACGGATAGTTGTAATAATAATTATTATTATTAATCGTTTCTTCACTGACTACGCTTATTGCTAGATTTCTATTCAGTAGAGTTTCTATTCGACGGAAGGGAAAAAGTCGTTGGCGGTAAAAATGGCTATGAATAAATACATTTATATATATATATATTAAAAGGTTCTCTTGGACACTCTCTACATTCATTGCTTTTCAATTTGGACTTGTTTACTTAGTTTAAAATATAAAAAAAGATTCGGTGTATGTGTGTATGCTTTTGTTGTTGAAGTTGTTGTTGTCGACATGCTCGAGCATGATCGTTTTCAATGTATAATTCGAGGAAATGAGGGGGCGGGGGCGGTTTGTATTCGCACTGTACTGGCTTACTGTTTCTAATGTGCTTTAATTGCAAATGTGCTCCTCCCTCCGATGATTGCACATCTCACATTTAACATCACAACACCAGACAAAACGGCATTTGCATTTCTCTTCCACATACCGTATTCGCGTTTGATGGCCTCGGCCGCAGCACATAATTTTACATCCATCGATACCGGGTGATGTTCGATTACACAATCGACCTTTTGTACCCAAAATGCCCAACCTTGATGAATATAACAATTTTCAAATGAGACTTTTTTTTCGCAATCATTAGAAAGAACATTCAACAATCAAACACTTACTCATCGTCACGATCGCAATAGTCGGGCGAATCTTCTAAGTAAACTAAATCGGATTTGATGAGCTTTTTATATTGTGGATCACGTCGACGCAACTTTGACACACGACCATCACGTTCGATCAACTGTTGAACAAAAAAAAATCGAACGAATTGAAGTTAATGGTTAATTATGCTTAAAGTGAATTTACATTATTACCTTCACATGAGAGGCACCATCGTACAATTGACCCAATACTTCACCAATAGCACGTAAAGCTGGTAAACGTCTCCAGCAAACTCGAATCGAACAAGAACCCGAAACACCATGACATTTACTGTTTTTTTAAAAACAAATATATCATTTTTTGAAGAAAAAATTATTATAAAAAATGCTTTTTGTTTGTGTTACAGTTTTACAAAATCTTACCAGATCCGTTGCATGCGCGATCTCAATGCCTATAATTTAATTGTTTAATTGAAATTAATTTCGATTTTAACGAGAAATTCTATTTATTTCTTGTAATACACACCCTACGACCAGCTTCGTTATTGTGTAAATTCATCAAACCGGAGGCAGTCTCATTACTTTCCTGTGAATCAATGAATTTTCTCGAAAATAATACGCCATAGTTAACATCCTACGTGAAAAAAAATAGAGAAGAGATTGAAATCAATTACATCCGCAAGCTTCTTTTCTTCAAGCATTCGGCATAAGATGAATAATCGCATAAATTGTGATTGATTTAGTTCAAACCTCTGAGCAACCACCCCATTGCCATTTGCGTTGCTTTCGTCGAATGGTGTTATCGCATGAGCATTCGGTTAGGTCGCCTCGAGAACATGCACGCGTAATGGACCATGCAAGTGATGCTGCATTGATGGCATGTATATAAGCTGTTTCACGACTCTCTAAACAGCCGCACAGAAACAGCAAAAGAAAACACAACGCAAAACGAGATTAGAAAAATATATATATGTAAAGATATTAGATTTTTTCCGTTATTCACGGTCGATCGGTGTGCTTATCGAAACTAATTTGATCTGTGTGTACTTACTGATGCGCATAACATCGCCATAGATGTCTTGAAGATCAGACGATGGTTGGGATGTTGTGCAATTCCAACGACTATTTCGAAATTGATGTTGGCATTCCTCTTGACCCATTTTGGCACCTTGTACAATTGCCTACACAATGCAGAATCACACGAAAAAAAATATATGTGAACAATTATATATGATTTTGCAAGCGAGTGCAATGGAATATTGGTATTCCGTTTAAAATTGTATTTTGCCATTGGTTTGATTATTAGTTTGAACTTACAGCGAATACTCGTGGACTGCGAGCGCACATTCGACGTTGTTCATTAGATAAGTGCAGTGCATTCTTACAAATATCTTCATGATTATGATGCATAAGTGCGTTCGGGTCAAACAATCCCACATTCTGCAATGCATGTAATCCCAAATCCCTATACAAATGGAAAATGAAACAAAAAAAAAGCGAGAACGAGAGAGAAAACAAGTGGAAAATTAGCGAAATGAGAGATTGTATGCATTTGTACACGAAACATATTTAACAATTTTTCGATAATTTCATTCAATTAAGGCGTTCAAGCGAATTGCCATTAATTCAACAATAAATCGAATGAGTTGTAATAAAACGAAAATGGATATATTGACAGAAACACAAAGGAAGAATGAAAGACAATACTTATATATATATACAGAAAATTCATCGCTTTTCAGTAAACAGATGACAACAAAGAATTTATATTCATTCCCATAAAGAATCTTTCGGTCGACCAAATGGTCGTATTTGGTTTGTACACAGTAAACTCTTAATAAACATATGAATATAGACAAATCTATAAAAATGCGTGCAATAAAACAAAAGTTCTATGAATTTTTGTCTTCGTCGTTTATTCACTTATTTTACAAATAGAAAGAGAAAAATTGCTACGCGAATAAAAAAAGAAGAGCAAACAGGCAGATAGATAAAGCAAACCAACAAGCAAATGTGGTGCGAGTCATAAACTAGGCCAAAATACCAATATAGTGATGAATATATTCGAACTCAATGAAGATTCAACGCAATTTAACAACATATGCTTCGGCTACAGCTTAAATAATAATGTTCATGAAGACAAGAGACACACACCGAGAGAAAAGAAGAGGGACGGGAGGTAGGTAGGGAGATTCGAAATAAAGACACATTTTTCACGGGTCATAAACGGGAAAATGTTAAAGCACAGCAAATTTTCAAAATCCAATCAAAATCACAGATTGCCAAACGAATATATTTACTGGACAGAATGAAATGTGGTACGCGTTTATCGTTTTTTTTCTTCAGCTATTAGTTTTTGTCCACGATCGGTCATTTCGTGCATTTGTATAAACAACACGATCTCCAAATATGATTTAAACAACGCGTAAGCGGTATAAAATCATAAAATACACACAAAGACTGTTGTGTTAAATCAAATAAAATATTTTTTTATGGAATTTACTCGCGTACTGATGTCATTTGCACAATAAACATTAAACACGACTATTAAGTTCCGAGCAAATTTTGTTGTTTTTTGTTGCTTTTGTGGGTGAGATTCTTGCAGAAATACAGACGCAAAAAATCAATCTGATGACATGATCAAGTCATTTAATTCATGGATAAAAAATAAAATAAAATAAACAACTGCGGTCGTTCGAGTTAAATGCTTGCATCGGTTGCGAACCAGCAAAATGAAAAAGGTTTTTGGTTTAACAAAAAAAAAACATGAATCGTACTCATTTTTTGCAATTCAATTTTTTTCTATGCTCGAAGCTAATTTTTAAGCAGCATAACGACTACTTTCAAATCATAATCACAAGAATTGTAAATTAATTCAGAATGCTTGGAAATACATTGAAAAAGAGGCTGAACGATACAAAATTGAAATCATGTTCAACAATCACCAACGACATATTCAGTCATTTTGTTCGAAATCCAAATGCATATATGAAGAAAAGATGAGTGTGTGTGTGTGAATGCATTTTCTGCCTCTTGGATGTGAATGAATTTGACTCTCCTGTGTTGCCGTTGCATAGTGCATTTTCTTTGGTGATGGCAAAAGGCAAACGATTAGACTTAACATAACCGATTTTTTTTCTTCATTACATACAGCAAATGTATTTCAAACCCTTTGCATAATAAGGTCCATATCATCTCTCAAATCACAATCGTTCAACCACTTCATACGGCATTGACTACATCCCACAATCACTGCTCTTGCATTCATTACCCATGTTTATTTGTTATTATATTGTGTTTTGTGCTCATGTAAGCGCTTGCATATACACATACAATTGAAGACGTACACTTCCGCTCTTGTTTTGCCCTTCATTCAGTTTTCGATAAGCTGAACAGAACGGTGATGAGGTGGAGCGCGAACTGGGCGAGCGCACTCATTCACATCAATTCGCAACACACAAGAATGATATATAATGAATAAATTTACAACGATTCGTAGCAGAAAAAAAGTAGCGAGGCGAGCGAGAGAGAAAAAAATAAAAACGAAAAAAATGGGGCGCTGAGTGTTTTTTTTTTTCATCCAAAGAAAAACAAGAAGCCAGCTCATTGGGCACAAAACGTTGGTAATAAGTAGCTCACTTGAGATGAGAAATTGTTTTTTCCCGTACAATTGCCTTGTCACTACTTGACAATCACAATGTATGTTGTGTCAATGGCAGCAGCGACGACGAGCGTAAGGGTGGAAATGCACATGAAAAGAAACAAATGGTAATTCACAAACATATAGATAAACGGCGAACATATTTTAAACATCATCACATCAAAAATGTGAGCAGTGATAAGATCGAGAATATCTTTTTCGCGGTGTACCCAAAAACTGTCTGGACATACCCAATTTTTGACACTGGAAATTGCATCTTAATACTTTTTTATTATTGCATTTCTTACTAAGCTATCCAACGTGAATCTACAAATAGGACATTGGAGCTATTTTCATTCTCTAATTTTTTTTCCACAAGAAATCTTTGTTTTGAAATGGTATTCGGTTAAAATTGAACATAGATGGAGGTAACAGCTCCAAGAAAGTATTTATTTCAGAATTGTTCATTCAGTCTCAATCAGAAACATAACAAAATGCGAGTAAAGTGTTCAGGGGTTCCCTGATTTAGGTCACATTGTTGGGACCAAATGTAATCGATCTTAATCTTATTCCACCAAAATGATCAAGTTGAGTTTGTGTCACTTTTACTTTGTATATTAGTTATTTGTAATCATTTTGAAAGTATTTTCCTGGTAGAAAAATCGATGTAGAAAAATGGTATTGACGAACCATGAGATGCGAATGTTTAAACAATATTATTACTCATAGTAATTTACTATGAATTGCCATCATACAATTTCACGCGTAAATTCGTCTGCATTCAATTGTCATAACAAAGATTGCTTTGACATTAATATTACTCAAAACGTCCTGTATATCGAGTATCAGCAAATATTTTATTGATATTTACAGAGAATTAGCTTTGCAAGCCAATTTTTTTGTTCGTTTGTATTGACTCTTCAGCGACATTTTCCCATCGGCAACATCACAACATATTTTATGAAATCTAATATTTGAACAGCATGACTAGCGTTATCGCTTTCGTCAAAACAACACAGCGAATTGAAATGTCAACCAGTTTGTGTGCGTTTCCTTTTCAAAAAAAAAAAATAAAATAAAAAAAAAAAACAAACGAGAACAACAAACTATTTTCAACTGCAAAATGCATTGCGCTATGTTTCTGATCATATCATTACATACATATGAATGCTTCGATTTCAAATACAACATTGTAATAAATGATGGCTATTTCGATAAAGCAATTAACATTATCCATATTTCTTGCTGTAAAATGTTTGTACAGCCGCAAGAGATAATTAATAAATACATTGAATCGCAGTGTTTTTTCTCTCTCGGTGCGTTGTTGTTCAAAATTCGAACAGCGAAAAAAGTGTTATCGATGAATGCGTCATACTTGTAGCCAAGTCCATCTTGTGATTATGATTGCAACGCCAGTGCACATAATAATGATGTTACGAGTGGAGACACGAATATATATGAATCGTTGCGGTGAAAACATAGCTCTTATTTTCTTCAACATAAAAATGATTTAAAAGAAACAAGCAAAAGTACCGAATAATATTTCAATATACTAACGGTCCGAATCATAATGCAACATGATTCATGTTGCACTATTATTCGGAACGTGTAGAAGTGTTGTTTCCAATTTGCGCTTGTTCAAATATTCTTTGATATTAATATTTTGTTTCTATATTATTCAAAAGAAAATATTTAATGGGACTTCATCACGGACAGCTCATTTTTGTTGATATTGTTGATTTGTTTTTGTGTACTCTATACTCCGATAGAAAAATCGCAAAAAAAAGAGCTTCGCGAGTACTTGAATTGATCTGAACACATTGGATCAGATCGGATCCAACTACTCTACAAGATTCACTTCCATACTTTGAAGTATTATTTTGAAAAAAATAGGAGCTTTTTTTCGTTGCAACGATTCAAATATAAATGTGTGTTTCTGATTAAGCGAATACGATCGAGTGTTACGCCTACAAAAGTGCATACGGAAGGCAATACCCGTGTGGCCGTAATCATTTCGAATAATGGTAAAGCAATGGCTGAGGCAGTAGCCAATGATAAAAACGCTCTTGTTTACCATTTCACCAACAGACACATATTGCCAGACAGACAAACCAAACGCCAAACGGCGCAGTTCATGATTTTCTCTTCACAATAATTAAAAATTAAAATATCACTTTTTCTTCTTCATCTAATACTTTGACGGTTCGATTTTTAATATTCAATATCATTGAATTGACTGAGAGCAATTGGAGGGAAAAATTGTGTGTATGAGAAATAGAGAGCGGGAGAGAGAGCATGCGAAGCAAAAAAAAAAGAAATTCAGTTGCACTATCTCGGTTGGCTAATTAAAACTGAGTTTTCCTTCATTATTTGTGTAATGCGCCGCAAACAGGAATAAATACAAAGCGAAAAGTCCAACAACAACAACAAAAATTGTTTTCAATCTAACAGATATCATTGGAAACAGATCGTCGGGGAGGTCGCAATTATTTCATTCACAATATTATTCGAATATACGTTTATCAGTCGCATTCAGTGTAAGCCGGTCACTTTTTCACCGTGTTCAAATGTAAAGAGTGAAAGACAAAAAAGAGAAACAACCGTGTACTGTGTAAATAAAATGCTGCTGCAGACCGTTTAATTATTACAATTATGCATTTCAATTTATAAAAAGTAATTATGCTCGTTTTTTTCCTCCTTAAAAACGTAGTCTTGTACATTTGATCCATTATTGGAATGATTTGGTGTGTGTGTGTGCATGCATGTGCATACGGTTTTCTTCAGTTGTTGTCAACGTGATTGTCAACTCAGTTGACTCAACTGTA